ACGGGCTCTGTTGTGATTTTTAACTGTTCTTTGGGACAATTTTGAAGGACCATTCATCTTTAGAATTTCACTGTTATTTTAGATGTAGCCTTGGTCATGGTGGGGTTAAATCTTAAGATTAACAATTAAGATTGTTTCTATTCCATCTCCTACATATCCTTTCAGATGTCAAGAGGAATCTTTTCAAAATGCAAATATTCTGCCAGGGGAGCCTATACACACTCCACCCACAGAGACCTGCAAAAAAAGAACTGGCTACAAATTCACAACCAGTCTTTCCTCTAGAAATTTTAATAAAAGGTAACAGATATATGATCGAAAGAGAAACCAGAGTATTTTACAGTTGTAATTTTGTATGATTTATAAATTATATGATTAATCTGATTTTTCTATTAATGTATTTTTGCATTAAACTATAACTCCATATCCCAGGTTGAGCTCCCCAGGGAGCAGGTTCTCAGAAGGAGACCATAGCAGGGGGCTTACTAGGGAATGCTTTGGAAACCTCCAGCTATGGGAAGAAACTGGGATTGGGCAGAGGAGGTGGGGTTGCGATAGAGTCTCAACCAAGTTCTCTGTTGACCCTGTGGGAAACTCTGAAGCTGAACAACTTCAAGATTGTCCCAAATTGGTGTAAGAGGGTCAGGTTTTTGTTTACAAATCATTGGATGCAGCCTGCCCAAAGAAGGGGATGTGACATTAGAGGAAGTGATTCTTGTCAACTGAGGTAATTCTGAAGAGGGCCCATACCCAGGGCTGGCTTCAAGGGTGTGTGACCTGTGTAGTCACACAAGGCCCCATGCTTAGTTCAATACTCTGCTGTCCCTGTCTTAAAATCCTTAATAATTTTTTATCAAGGATTCTACATTTTCATTTTGCACTGGGCCTACAAATTATGTAGTTGGTCCTGCTGATAGCTGCCTGCCTGCTGCACTCCCTCCAGCTGGGGGGATAAGTCCTTCGGTCCTGGAATGGCACCTGGGTGATGGGCCACAGTGCTCACTCTAGTCCACCTGCTGCATTGCTTAACTCCACTTCTTTCCATAGATCTGGAATCATTCTCTAGGACCTCAGCCTCTTGCCCTGAAGGAAACTTATAAGAAGAAAGTGGAATGAACTCCAGTCCCCAACACTGAAACTGGTCTTGGGACTACAACGATCATCATCTTTCTCCTTTACAATCCATTTTAGGGTTTCTTCACCCTTAGCTAGCACTTCTGCTGGTCTCAGTGACTTACCTGATGCTTAGAAGTTCCAAGTCCTTGGTCCCATGATCTTTTAGGCTCATCATGGCTGCTACTCTTGTCCATTTACAATTAAATTGGACAAAGGACTACCAAGAGGTGCCCAATTGGGTTGCCTGGGTACCGACATATTCCTCCTGGCTCCTATTGTGTAACAGCAGCCGTGCATTCCTGTGATCAGATCACTTATCCTGCCAGATAGGGACTCCTCTCTTTGCCTGCTAGTTTCTTGGCACAAGAAGCCTGAAGTACCCAGACAGGAAATGTGACTTAGAGTTCAATGACACTCCTAGGTCTGCTGGTGGAAGTGTTTCACCTTTGGGAAGCAGGACGTCTAAACTGCAGAGCCCAGAGTTGTAGGCAGGAAACACAAATTCTCCACTGAGAATGATGGTAGACAGGTCCACGCCTGCTTCCATTCCTTGATTCTGGGAGCCAAATATTCTACCTGTTGAGAACACAACACCATATAGAGGCCATTAATGTAAAGTGTACACTTCATCTTGGGAATAGCGCCCCCTTTAGTTATGCCTTTGACGGGCTGTCCCATCACTCCATTAGGCTGGAAGCTTCTGAGTGACACCGTATTTGCAGAGCCCAAGGTCACTTTCATGTCTCCTTTACTTTTGTGAGTCCCATGCAGTCAAAACACTCTGAAGCCCTTTGTGATGCTGGCTGAGGCCCTGCAAATAGGAAAGGTGAATCACCTGGAATGTGTGTCTAGATGAAACTGGATCAGCCTCGGTGTGTGGGAGCCCATTTCACTGGGCCCATTCATAGCCTCCAACCCTGCCGCAGTGGCTCTTCCAATGCCAGACGCTGGACGATGTCAACTGTCCAAGTCACTTTGTCAACTTTGTTGTTCGGGGCCTTTTCCATCGAAGCTCTTCACAATTTGTGCCCATCCACATACCTTTATCTCAGATCTCCTTGTTCCCAGTCTTCCAGTCTATTTCTTTTCAGGCCTCTGACCGTCTGGCCAAAGTATATCCTAACCTTGGGCCACTTCCCACACAAATGGAGGGCCAAGTGTATTGTGTGAAACTGCCTTTTGGGAGGATTTCCCCTCATCACTCTTTCAAGGCCACCTCCGAGTAGGGCTGTAGTATAGCCATCATTTATGTTGCTTGCACCATGTACTGACCTTCCCCATCCGTGAGTCAAGTTCAGGCATTTTTCTCTTCCATCAACTGGCCACACAAGATCAGTGGCCATAGGTGTGAACGGAGGGAAAGGCTCTGGTGCTGCAGTGGTAGATGACATGGGAGTCTGGGCTACCTGCTTATGTAGCATACTGTGCCCTTTGGCACATTTGTGTTTGATCCCAAATGTATCTGCCATCTTACAGTAGATTGTTACATGACTCTACCCAGCCTTATGGCTTGATGGGTCTGAGAGAACCCAGAGCATTCCATCATCAGGTGCCACATCTCTACCAGGGCCCAATAGCACGTCGGAAGACTTATGTTGAAAGTTGTTTACTTTTCTTCTATAGATGGCACGAACTCAATCCAGAATCCTTGGAGTCTACATTGTGATTTTTCTCATTGAAATTTGCCATTAACTCCAACACAGCATCTTTCCCCACCACCGATGCATCTTAACAGGCATAGTTACCCATTCAGCCTATTTGGGAACTCACCTAACATGGTTAACAGGTATGACCAGTTAGACTGGGGAAGAGCCTTAACAAAATGCTATTAAAGAGCACCTGGTGGTGCAGCAACGCCTGAGAAAGTCTGGAGTCTGACAGAGGTGACATTAGAACAACATCTTTGAGAACATGTTTCTCCCAGAGCCAGAGGCTCGGGAAGCATAGGCAGGAAGAACATGACCGCTGGGCACCTTATACTCAGATCTCATTTCACCAACACATTTGAACTGTTTAGAACCAAATTATATTGTCCTTTTTCCCACTTGGACTCATCCTTTATTTTCCTTATGAAATCTCCCCCAATTTTCCCTCTTTAGCTAGCATTTTACTATGCAGAAGGGTCGAATGTCATCTCTTAGAGTGAGCTCACTGTGTCCTCTCTATATTCTAGAGCATTCATGAAAACCTTAATGACCCACAAGCTCCTGATTATGTCTAAACTGTTTACATTCTTTGTATTCCTTAATCTCACCAAAAAGTGCCTAATATTCATGTTGTCATAGATAACTTAAAACATGAAACGAAGTTAAATGCTCTTAGAGTTGCAAGTTAGGGGCAGTGATTTTCCTTTACTATGTGGTTTTATTATTGTCAAAGGATTCCACTGAGGTATGATTTTGGTTTTTCAGACAGGAAAATATTTGTTACCCATTTCCTGCTGAATTAACACTTGAGATTGTAAAAACCTAGTTACTCATGTTACCGGATGGCGACTGGGCCCAGATCGGGTCTACTGCTGGCTGGTAGTGCGTGGGTTCTCGACTTTGTGCAGGAATGACCTGAGAGTACGTCTCTTAAAGCTGGGGACAGTGAAACAAAGGAAGGGCTTAGGAAAGCAGCAGCAACAGGAGAGAGCCGAGGCGGTGCTCTGCTTTGGCTCCCTAGAAACGTTGTAGGAAAAAGTGAGCCAAGGCAGGGCTGCTGCTGGCTCACTGGGAAGTCAGAAAAAGGGGGCCTTGGAGACAGGTTCAGGGGGTAAACCAGGGACAACTGCTGCTCTCCTGGTTGCAAGTCTCATGGGGACCCTGGGTGTTCAGGAAAAATGTAAAAAGTTCATGCCCAAGAACAGGCATGGGCGTGCTCAAGAGCGAGCCCACGCTGGTGCCCTTGTCTTGAGGGTTTTTCTCTCTTCTACAGGCAAGAATCAGGGGAGAATTACAGCAGAATATTCATCAGCTTTCCAGGGGTTTTTAACATGCTAGTGCATCAAAATAAGCATACAGGGGAGTTTGGGATTATTCTTTGGTCAGCTTTTTTATCTTGGGTCTGTCTGGCTCTAATTGGGTTTTTATTTGTTCCTTGACTTCATCTGTCCTTGGCTTTGGCTGGCAAAGTGGCATTAATTGAGCCTCTGTCTTCTGTCTCCCTGACGGGGTGATTTAAGCTATTTATTCTCTGGTGAGGGAGGAGAGGTATAAACCACTTGTTCTCGTGTCCTTGGTTAGGGAAGATAACGTCTTGTTATTCCCTAGCTGGCTCTAAATTGGCCCAACTGTTTGGCCTTTGTAATTATCTTGTCTGTTTCCCCATTCCACTTGCTCAGGAATTTTCCCAGCTTTGTACTATCCCCCATCACCCAGAGCTCTCCTCCTCTCAGGCTTTCCCTGCGCTCTGCACAGGCCAGAGGCTTCCACCTGCTTACAAACGCAGCCTCAGCAGCTGGAGCGGACAGAGGGCGGAGTGTGTTACAGGACATATGAAAACATAAAAGGGAAAATTAAAATTTGCTCATGACAACTTACTTCCCAACCTTTTAATCACTCACTGCTTTGTTTGAAACATTTTCTTGTAACTGAATTTAGTACACTGGAAAGTTTTGTTTTTGTAATTCTACTAATGTTTTTACAATTCATTGATAAATGGTTATGTCAAAGAAAAAGACAACATGCTTACGCTTTGAGAAAATATGGGAGTCATCATGTATATAATTTGTAAATTTTTGCTTAGGCCACTAATTTTTATTATTAACCTTTGACCTTCAGAAGTAAACTAGAGCTATGTAAATAACAGAACAGCCACATTATAATGTTACTCACATGAATGGCTAAAAAGAAAAGAGCCACAGTCAAGTCAGTAACACTTTAATAAAACGAGTAGAACCCTTTAAAACAACAGCTCTTTATTACATGGATTCACATACACAGCAGACCAGCATGTTCCCTGGGATGTAATAATCACATTCAATAAAAGGCTGTTAGTGCATCCTCAACACTAATTCTAAGGGGCCTCCTTTGAATTCCCTTTATAAAGCCTTGTACAAAGAGGTTAAGCACCAGTAAGACTGTTGGTAGCAGTTTTATTTCATCATCTTCATCATCAATAAACATGCAGTTTCTTCCTTCTCGTACATGGCATTGCCAAATGGGTGCTACACTCTGCCTACGGTACAAAGTTTATAAATACAATATACCAATACAAAGTTGAAGCCATTAAAAAGAGTTTAATAACAACTATGAGACAATTAAATCTGTAGTGTAGATGGAATCTATGAAAGATTTAGAAACAACACACAAACTCAAACATTACAGTAAACGTTTTAGTTGGGAAGGGGTGAGAGAGGAACTTTTTCTATGCTGCTGAGGGTTTTCTAGGTTGCTCCAAGTTCACTTTCTTTCCGCTATTATCTTTAAATACTGCAAAGCATTGTGGGCAGCATCACTCTGTGCATTGCCACAGGAGATCCCAGAGCCATGGCAGACCGTGATGGGACTGGTGGACAGTTCGGCGAGACACTGATACTGTCCGTTGGCACTCAGTTCTTCTGTAATGACAAATTCAAGCACAATGGTTAATAAGTGTATATAAAGTAGATCATTTGTATAAACAATACTTTTTATCATTGTTTTTCTCTGTAAGCATCCATGGTAGACTACTCCACTTCATCATCTTTGTTATTCTTTCTTTTAAAATAATTTTTTTTAATTGATTTTAGAAAGGAAGGGAGAAAGAGAAATATGGATGTGAGAGAGACACATTGATTGGTTGCCCCCCACATGCACCCCGAATGGGGATTGAACCCACAACCTAGGTATGTGCCCTGACCGGGAATCCAACCGGAGACCTTTGGTGCACAGAATGATGCTCCAACCAACTGAGCCTCACTGGTCAGGGCATCTTTGTTATTCTTGTACAAACAAAAACCAAAATACAACTGCTCAGCTATAGCAATTCTCAAACACAGATGTGCTTCATAATCATCTGAAGGAACTTTACAGAAATACGCGTGTCCAGGCCTCACTCCAGCCTACTCAATCAGAAATGCAGTGTTGGGGGTTAAAAATGTCAGATTCTTGCATATATATATATTTTAAAAAGCTAGGCAATTCTAATGTGGTTAATTGAACAGTATTTACAAATTACTGAACCAGAGCAACTTTTTTAAAAGGGAAGGAAAAAGAAAACATTGGCTAGAGCACTGGGGAGGTTGTATTTTTCATTATGAAGTCTAGGGTTTCTTTCAGTAGACATTTGAACTAGGAAACATGGTTCAGGCCAAGATCTCCCTTGTGCCTTAATGTTCTTTGGTTATAAATCTGTGCAAAGAGTCTAGTTCTATCGGTTAGGATGTTTTAAAACAATACGTAAACCCAGGAAACAAATGTTCTTCTCATCAACTGATGAATCACTCTTACTAAAGATAATTAAACAAGATAAGGGAAGTAGAAACACAGGAGTCCTCATTTGTTTAAAGAGGTCATGATTAAATATTACTTTAGTCAGTCAACATAGTGGAAAATATCCAGATGCAATGGGATTATTTAATGTCTGAAGAGGCTTTCTAGTTCTAGCATCCAGGTTCTTTCTTTTTTTTTAAATTGAGGTAAAGTTCACAGAACATAAAATTCACCATTTTTAAAGTGAACTATTCAGTGGCATTTAGCACATTCACAATGTTGTGCAACCAGCACCTCTACGTAGTTATAAAACATTTTCATCATTTCGTCACCCCACAAGGAAACACCACACCCACTAAGCAGCCACTCCCACCGTGCTTGCCAACATCAACCACCTTTTCTGACCAGCTGTCTGTACTAAATTCCCAGGGTTGGCCTCATTCTCAGTATATTAAGACACTGCACTTGACCCCATCACTTAATCCTAAAGTAGCAGAGAAAATCAGAAGTTCTTTCAATCCCTAAACACCCACTTTCTCAGTGGTAGTAGCTCTGACAAGCTAGGTCCCCACAGCTCACTGAAGCCGGAATAAAGGATAGCAAATTCTTCACGTATTATATTTATGTTAAATCATGATAATAAATGCACAGGCCCATATACTCACACACACGTACATATTAACCAGCTTTATAAACTGAATTAAAGGAAAATTCAAACTGCCTTTCTTTCCAGTCTTTCCATATTTGCCTATTTAAATGATTAAGGGCTAGAGAAAATCGAGATGATGATAACTGGAATGGGATAAAGTAATTTATAAATTGACTTGCCCCCATTTATCTCCCAGATTTGGCATACAGTGATGAAGTAGGGAGAGAGGTCTGGCCCCCATAAACTTGATACTTGTTCTAAAAATGTGGTGCCTCTATATTTGTCAATCTGCCCATCAGGGCTGGTTTAATAGACAGTGTATCTGCAGTTACTCTTCCCCTCATCTGGCTCTACCACTGACTAGTTGTGTGATCTTAGACAAGTTTCTCAACTTTTCTGTGCCTTACTTTCTTCATTTATACACAGAACCTACTGCATAGGGTTAATTTGTGGATTCAATCAGTTATTATGTAATGTCCTTAGAAGAGTGCCTGGCACATAGTAAAATTCTATAAATTTTAGCTATTATTGTTTTTAGTATTATAACTGTAGAGATGTTGGCTATTTTTAGTATTATTTATAAGAATGGAACATATCAATTATATGTGTTACTGCTGTAGTAATATATATAGTTAGAATCCCTGATCAATGAAATCAACTATAATAGAAGTTATTGTTTCTCCAACATATTTTTAAAAGAAATATGTTTTGGGATAAGCCCAAACCCCCCTCATACCTATATCCAAATATGTTATATTAAAACCCTGTTCCTTGGCGATTTCACTAAGCAGCTGGATGTAGTCTGTGTTTGGAATACTGAGGAGGCTTCTTTTCAGTAGGTTGATCTTCTCACCAGAAGAATTCCTCAAGGAATGCCAAGTACATCCTAAAGAATGTCCTACCACATTTGTCTGAAAAACAGATGAAGGTTAGGACTCTTAACTGGGACTGGTTTCCAAATTATAACTCAAAGTAGTTATAAGGCCCTCACATTTAATACTTTATAAAGCATGTTTAAATGATCACCATTTGGTTAACCTTCTAATTTAAACTAGACAACACTAACAAGTACATACATTTAACAAATACCATCATAACAAGAAAAAAGAAGCATATGCAGTAATATACTGGAAGTATTTAAAAGTGCTTTTGTAAGGTACAAATGTGTCTCAGTCAAATTTTCTGATAGTCACATTAAGATATATAAGATATTTAAGAATACTATTCAATTTGCAAATAATTGCATCTGATTAGCACAGTAATCTACAAATTAAAATATAGAGCAATTTTCATATCTTTATGATTTCTTGTATTGAATACCAATCACTGTAATCAAAAGCCGTAAAGCAGAAAACAAAGAAACTGTAGAAAAGGTGAAAAGTACATTGCAGGTCTCGACTTAGATATTACTTCCTCCAAGAGGCCTTCCCCAGACCCCCAGGCTCAGCTGGATGCCTTCTCCCATGTTTCTAAGCAGCCTTGGCAAGGACCGGTCTGCAGGGTTCTTTCCTCTCTCCCGTAGGCTATAAACGCCTTAGGAGCAGAGACTGTCTGACCACTGTACGCTAGTACCCAGCACAAAGCTTCGCACAGAGCACAAGCTCACTAAATGTTTACTGAGTGGTAAATGAATGGATAACAAAGAGATGGAAACACACTGTCAGTCTGAAGGTGAAAAAGGCACTATGGGCCTATTATCTTTAGATCCCAGTTCTCAGTTTCACTGTGTCTCCCAAACCCTCTGACCTGTTCACCCCTGTGACCCTGACTCACATACAGCAGGCAGATTAAATTGGGGTAGTGTGTTACTAAACAATGAAGAGATTTTCAAAAGCTGCAGCTCTGAAGTATCTATACAACAAGAAACCTAGGAAAGTTTCCTATAGCAAAAGATGCTTAATCACATTAACATCATAGCTGTATGATCAATACTCACTAAAGAAATGTGGTTCTCTGGAGAAATATTACTGAATTTGGCAAGAAATTTCTCAGCAGCATTTCTCTTGGCTTGCTTTTTTGATGCCCCCTTTCCTAAATAAAAAAAAAGAAATGGTAGACTTGGAAAAGAAATGTGTCCAGAGAGAATGACCAAACGTACATTGTGTTTAACCAGAGAACCACCTCACGGTTTTTACACACTGACCTGACATCTTTGCTTGTTATGATTCATATAGCTATTAATTCTTACATTTTCAAAAGCATTTCTTTTAATAATTTATTTTTAATAGTTATACCTTGTTTTCCTTTAATAGTTATATTTCCCTAAGTCTAGTTTTAATGAATTATATTTGGTTTCATTCTGGCCAAATAGTTATATTTCCCTATGTCTAGTTTTAATGAATTATATATGGTTTGATTCTGACCAAATATTCAAATTTACCAAGGTATATTTGAATTACAATTTCTGTCTCTCAATGTTTACTTCCTGCTTACAATTTTCTGTAAACTGACAATTACGTGAAATTTCTCTAACATAAATAAGAAAGGAGATACTGAAGTTGAAAGATACCACATATTTCATCTTCTTTCATGCTTCTGTTAGATTTAAAAACTGAAGCCCAGAGAGGTTAAGTTGTTGAACTTGCAAACCAAGGATTGCATCAAGAACAAAAGCGGAGGTTCCTGCTTCTGGCCCAGTGTTTTCTGCACTGGTCCACACTACCTCTTGGGGGCAAAAAGTTGCGCATTAGTTTAAACTATTATGTAGCCAAGGTAAAATTCCCTTTCATTAAAAATGATAAAAACATGTTAGAGCCCACCTAGCATGGCTCAGGGGCTGAGTGCTGACCTATGAACCAGGAGGTCAAGGTTCAATTCCTGGTAGGGGCACAAGCCTGGGTTTTGGGCTTGATTCCCAGTGGGAGGGCACGCAGGAGGCAGCCGATCAATGACTCTCTCATTATTGATGTTTCTCTCTCTCCCTTCATCTTTCTAAAATCAATAAAGAAAAAGAAAAACAAAAACATGTTAGAGAAGTTAAATAGGAATCCTCACTAGTACTTTATTAAGTAACTTCTTTTCCTCATAGTTTATGGCCTTTACAACATAAAAGTTGCTATAATTTACAAGAATAATTTTTACTTTATTTTTATTTCACTGCAACGTTTTGTCATCTATTGATCATCTTGTTTTCAAATGCAAACAAAGTGTTTTCTAGTCCTACCTTCTAAAATAGCTGCTGAAACACCAAATGAGATTTCTTAAGTACATCAATGAGGACTGCGCAGAGTCAATTCATTCTTTGTCTTTCCACTATTAACAACTCATGATTTTTAAAAATATCAAATTAAGATGTAGAAGTATTCTTAAGCCAAATATTTATACTTAAATTCACTGGCAGAAAGTTAAAGACAGTAGCACAAGAGTGTATCGATTTTTTCTCAACAAAAAAAAATGTGAAAAGCTGTCACAACACAAATTTCTATGGTCATTTATCATCTGAAAATACTTCAAATGTCTTCAATGGTATGAGGATAAAAAGAAATAAGTACCAGTTTCCATAAATGACTCTAGCCTGCAAATTGTGGTATATTCTCTCTTGTGAGCGGGTCCTCCCTCCTGGGAAAGGGTATACTCAGGAAGCCTCCAGCCATGATGAATAGCTAATTCCTAGAGAATTCAGATGAGGCTTTAGTAGAAATTCTTACTACCAATGGCTCAGTCACATAAATGACAGTCTTTCGTCATTTTGATACCATTTCTATTTATATGTCTAAAGGAATAATGATATTCTGCAATGGAAAAGTTAGGGAAGACCCTGTACTTCCCATAGATATTCCTGCATTTTATACCTTACAAGTCCATAATACCAAAGCGGAAGCAGTTTCCTGCTATGAATGGGGTTCTTCCATTCAGCAACAGCGAGCTGGTATCAGAGTTCAAACAGGAGGACAAACTACTATCGCCCCCTTTGGAAACATCAGAGAGGATATCCATAGGGCTCACTGCCGACCCACAGGCCTCCCTGCCACAGGGGGCTAACTACTGCACTTGATCAAGAGCAAAGAGGAGCAGAGACAGCAAGCAGACTTGAACGAGGTTGGGAAAAGAGGAAGAAAACTACAGGATAATTCCTAGAGCCGGAAAGAAACCCAGGGACTGGCTGGATCACGGTGGATAACGGGGAGGGGAGTCGTCCAACAGAGCACATGGATACTCTGCAAGGCGGATACTCTGCATGCAGAAACTCAAAGCTGAATATAGATATACTTTGGTAGAATAAGCAAATAAACAGATTTCTCCCCTATTCTTGAATCAGGATACCCGATTTGGGTTCTTTAAAGTCTTCTGTCTCAAGAGAAATAGAAAGAGGTTGGTCACAAGAATGGCAAGAAACGTTCTTAAAGTATAAAACACTCTACCCATGTGCACTGAGGTCCTGTTGATCTCAAGTGAGAATTCCACAAATCAAAGGCAGAGACTGTACATGGAAGAAAATCCAAAACATAAATAAAAAGGAAAATAATTTCAAGTTAGCGCTGTACTATCTAATGATCATAACTTGGAAAACAAAATATTATACCATCTTATCTTTAAAATATTAACTCCTTGTCTTAGGCCTTCATTTGATCAATTAATGACATCTGTTTTCAGTAGACAAAATGCTAAGTACAGAAAAACCGTGCAACTTACCTGTAATGAGCCAATAGGATTAAGCTGGTTCTTTGGTTGCTTGGAAGGGTCAGGCATTAAGGGGTCAGGAACTGCAAAGCTAAACATTTTTTTAAAGTGTTATAAAACCAAATAATTTCTCCCAAATTATTAAGTACACGACAAGTATTTTCTATTTAACCCTCTATGCCTCTGCTTTTGCTGTTCTGTCTACATGGAATGCCCTTATCTCCCACCTCTTCCATGAGAATCTAATCTATCCACCATCTGAGGTTCATCTCAAATGACACATCCTCTAAAAAGCCTACCCTTTTACCCCAATGCAACAAAATTTCTCCCTCCTTTGAGCCATTATAACATTTGGTTTGACACTTTCTTAAGCAAATTATTTTACTGTAAGTTATGGTAAATACAAAAACCCTTACAAATACATGTAATTTGCCTATCCCTCACCCCTGTTCAAACTGTAAAATCCTTGATGGTAGGGCCCATCTATCACTTACCCTCCTAAGCCTTGTAGAACTTCGTCTATAACTGGTGCTCAATAAAATGTATTTAAGTAAAGTATATACTATTGTTACAACTACACAAAAGGGGAAGACTAACAGTCAGGGAATTTAGCCTGTGAATAAATGTAGCTCTTTCATTAAGATAATTATGGAAAAAAACCTGTTTGATGTATCACATGCTAGGATAACCCTCCAAGATTTACGTGCATCCTACATAAAATAGATAGCCTGCGTGAATCTGGTTTCAGCACGTGAGGATTGTGATTAGGAAAAAAGAGAGCAACTCTTCTTCTAAGAAATTTGAAAGACTTGGGTGATGGATGTCTGACACTGAATGAGCTACATTCCAAGGTTACTACCACCCAGGCAACTGAAGAGGCATTTCTTTCGTGACAAATGAGCGTTAGTTATTGTCACTTCAAGTGTTTTTTCTACCAAAATTTCAAGCTTCACATAGGCTGATGAGATGAATATTCACTTACAATGCTGCCTGCCTAAGCTATCCAAATAACTGTGATGAAAAAGTGAGAAAATCTCTGTATTAAATCAGAGCACTTTAGGTCTTATTACAGCTTAGGAATTCCCATCTTTCCTGTCAAGAAACACAAGTGAAGCAAAAGTAGGTTTACAGTTGTGAGTAAATGATATAAAGTTTATTCTTGTATTACTTATTAATTATTGTATTCTTTTCCACAAACAATTGTAAACCTACTTTTGCCCCACCCTGTATTGTAAAGTGTGTTGTCCTTTTTTGCTGACAAACTGAAGTGCCCATGTGCAGGAAGGACATTATGTACACTCATTTCTACAAATATACTTAACACTTTGTGCTGCACAGAAATAGCATGGCCATCACCAGCAAGGGAGAGATCCAATTCCTGTCTTTCCATTTGGCATGTCTAAAAAGGTAGCATGAATCAATTATAATGTGTGACCCTAGAGAATCAAGCATCATTTTATAAAATCCAAGGCTTACTCTGGTTAAACTATGCAAATGGTTAGAAACAAGGGCACCACTTTACGATACATGAGATGCTCCAGGACCAACACTCTTTCCAAAAGTCCTAATGTGATTAACAAATTTATTTTGGAAAGCTATGTCAAGAATTAACATCCCATTCAACATCCTCTTGCATTTGGTAGACATTCTATAGTAAAAGGAAATCTTTTTGTCTTCTTCTAAATTAGAATTCCTAAACAAGTGTTTTTAGCTGATCTTTTCCCACCTCACACCTTGCTTTCCTCAGTGTAGAAATAATTAGTCTTAACACAGTAAGACACTGGCCAGAAAAACTCTGGTTTTCTACTGTTGTACCCCTCCTGGAAAAAAAAAGCCCACTTTAAGAGAGCCTTGCTCGGCTGGCATGGCTCAGTGGTTGAGCGCCGACCTATGAACCAGGAGGTCATGGTTGGATTTCCACTCAGGGCACATGCTCGAGTTGCAGGCTCCATCCCCAGTCGGGGGTGTGCAGGAGGCAGCCGATCAATGACTCTCTCATCAATGATGCTTCTCTCTCTCTCTTCCTCTCTCTGAAATTAATAAAAACATATTTAAAAAAAAAAAAAAAGAGAGAGCCTTCATTTAATTGCTAATTGCTGGATTTAATTTCTTAAGGATAAAGTTGTCTTCAAGGGAGGATAAGTTTTCACAAGAAAATAAGATTTTAAAGCTAGATACTAAAAACTGTTCACTCTGTTGCTTTTGTGAGCATGTTCAAACTTTTAATCTTACCTCAGCCATGATATTTTTGAGCTGCAGAATACAAAGAAATTTAGCTCACCAAATACTTGCATTGGCTTTCAAAATGTTTATGGCAGCCTCTGCAGCTCTATGTTTCGCCAGCTTCTTACTTGTACCTTCACCTGAATTAAGGTTAGCAACAAAAAAAGTATATGCTGTGAAAATGTGAGGCTTGCATAAATGTTTTCATAATGCAAAACAAAGTCACTACGGGTTGTACATGTATACACTAGCTAATGAAAACATACTACAAATATACTATAATAAAATATTCACCACATGAAATACATTATAAAACCCATGATTTTAAATGTTCTATGTATTTAATTCTATGCATACTAGTGTAAAAAAATCCATATTATGTCTACATTATATGTTTATTACATAAAGTGATAATAAAGTAGACTGTATCTACACCTTCTGAAGAAATGCAACTTAGTATTTTACTCTTTCCCTATTCACAGAGAGAAATTCTTATGTAGCAAGAAGTTTCCTTTAAGGGAGCCACTTACAGCAAAATGTGCACAATTTTATTCTAACAGCCTGTCCTATATGGGATTAAACTCCTAGACTGGATAAGCAATCATGGCTATATGTTGGGTTCAGGGTGGGAAAAGCTATATGGGGAAGAAGGTGAGAGTTTATGTTCTGTGTCTTGCATACAATCTGTATCCCTTACAGGTAGCTAAGGGGCGGTAGGGGCTAGCCTGACTAATCACTGACATTGATGCCTAATTGCAGTTAAGTCATCATATCTGGTAAATGGTAAATTCAATATTTTTCCTTCTTTGTTCAAGCTAGGTGTTGAGAACCCTTAGAAGGTGGTATCAGAATGCTCATGCCCATTTCTCTGGTGTGGAGGAAAGAAAGGAGGCCTGGAATAAATTTCAAGGGTGACGCTCAAGGGTCAGAAGACACATGCACCATACTCAATTATCCACTAATGTAGGTATTAGAGATATAGCAGAGAACTAAACAGAGTCCATACTTTTAAAGAGCACAAAACCCTAGTGTGGAATTTCTTCCGTAAACAGGTGTTTGAAATATGGAACAGTATATGTAATGACAGGCCTAAATGCAGGCTGTAGGGGAGCACACAAAAGGGGCAGCTCCTCTACTCTTAGTAAGGATTTGGAAAGGTTTCATGAAGGAGGAGATAACTAAATAAAGACTTTAAAGGTTAGTAAAAACTAGTAACATGAAGAGAGCTAGGGGTTAAGAACAACAATCTGGGCAGAGAAAAGAGCACGGTGTTCTTAAGAGCCCCATGTAGTTGGTTACAACAAGAGCTTGAAGGAAGGAATTTTGAGATAAAAGGCTAGAGAGTTGTAGGGTAGGAGCAGAGGTCAGAAAAGAGTCTCCTATATTTGTGCTTCTCAAATAGGAAACGCCTGGGAATTTTGTTAAAATGCATACTCTGACCTAGTAGGTTTGGCATGGGGTCTGATATTCTGCATTTCCATCAAGTGCCCAGGTAATATCAATGCTGCTGTTGATCACATTTTGAGAAGCAAGGTTCCAAATCATATTAACAAATCTGTATTCATCCAGAGGATTATGGGAAAACCCCTGGATGGATTTTAAGGAGAGGAAGTATATGAACAGACTTGAATGCCAGGAAGAACACTCCTGTTGTTGTATGGAGAATGGACATCACAAGGCTAGAAGCTGAAAGTACAGCTATAAGGCTGTAGCCATAATCCAAGTGGCCCAAGCAGTAGCAATGGGAAGAAGAGAGAGAAACAGATAGATTCAAGAGATATTTAGGAAGTAAGATTTGGTGATAGACGGGACAAGAGACACGAGGAAGGGGAAGAAGTCATGGAGATGAGACCCAAATTTCTACTATGAGCCAAATGGTGATGGTGGGCCCTTTACTGAGCTAGGGAAAGCAGGGGGAATGGATTTGAGAGAAAATGGATTCAGTATAAGTCAGTGAGAGACAGAGGTGCATTTGGGTCCTCCAAGCAAAGATTTCCAGCAAACACAGGCTGATACACTGTTTTGTTACTGGACCCCGGGCTGAAGATATTGATTTCAAAATTATCAGTATTTGAAGCTGTGGAGATAAGCTTACATAGGAAGACAGGGCAGTGCAAGAAGAGTAGGGAGCCTAGGCAGAATGGTTGCCATAGGTTGTTAATCTCTTGTATATAACACTTTGGGGCGGGGGGGAAGACTACTTTTTCTTGAACATTTACTGAATATTTAAACATAGACCAGCTAAAGCAGTAATGCATTGCTGATTCTATGGTTCACATGAAGAATCTTCCAGCTGGCACACATAGACAAAAAAATTTCAAAATTATCTTAAAGTGGCTTCAATGAAAATAGTGGACGTGAGCTTTTCAGGTACACAAACAAATGATGCCTTCAGATTACAAGATGGTAGAACTTCAGCCTTCCTGCTGAATTTTTTTCTTGACATTCTTCCAAATTAAATTACTATTCAAAATTTTTTTGTTTGCAGTTAAATAGACACATAGGAAACAAAATGTCTACATGTACAAATGGGCAGCTTCAGTTATTTGCTCAAACCACAGACCATAATAAGGTGAGTGTGAACTCTAAAACTCCATTGTCACGTGACCTTGGGCACATTACTTGTAATCTCTCTTATCCCATTTCCTCATGTATTAAAAAAAGGAGATAAGTTTATTAAAACACCTGTACAGTATGAGGAACTAGAAGCTGCTATGCAATCAATATAGAGTATATCAAGCCTTTTGCCTTCCTCATTTTGCATGGATACAGAAACAAGTGTGGTACAAGTGGCCCAAAGTACCAAATGAGTCCATACAGAAAAGGGAGAGGTTCAGAAAATTCTGGAGTCATGGAATCTGCTATAATCTATGAAACTATAAAACTTGACAGCACCTACTGATCCAGCTATGGCTGCTCCAAGAACCTTTCCTGCTTCTCCCTAATTCTTGGAAGAACCCTAGGAGGGTCCTAGGGTGTTTCTGAGCTTCTCCTGGTATCTGGGGAAGAGAAAATTAGGGAGAGAATCAGATGAAGCTGGAAAATCCCAACGGCCTGAGATGAGAGGTCTCAGTTTCAAGAGCCTGCTCCTCACAGCTGTCTCCAGTAAAAATGGCACTTGCCCAACTGATAAGCAATAGCAAGTCTTGACCGCCAACCCTCAGGGCTGTCGGAGGTTAACTGTGCATACAGACCTGTGCAGGTTATGTCACCAACGGTTACTCTGAAGGTGAAAGTGGGCACGTGTATTTGCATATCGGATCTTTCACATTCATAAACCGGGATGTTCTTGGTCTTCATGCCATATTCGTGTAATACCTGAATCGGTGTTTTCCCTGGTTTAGCTGTAATCATCTTCCCCAAACTGCAAAAAAAAAAAAAAAGAAAAAGAAAAAGAAAAAAACACAAAAGAAAAGAAAAAAGTGTGCTTTGCATGCCAAAGCAGGGAGGGAAACAGCAGCATGACAGAGGCTAGTCCTGACTGCCACCAATGGGGACGCGCGAGGCACCAGGGCTCCCGGCGGCCAGAGCTGGCAAGGGCACCATCTGCCAGCCCCACTGCGGCGGGCACGGGGCAGGGGCGGGCAGAGCGCGGGCCGTCTTTAGGGGGGTAACCTGAAGGAGGGCAGAGCGGATTCGCAGGGGAACAGAGGAGCTGCCACCTCCCAGGGCTAAGCTCACAAATCCCATTCCCCGGGAGGCCCCAACCCCCTTCGCCTGCCCGGCAGCCCCCGGAGGACGCCCGAGGGGCG